CCGTGATGCCGCGCTCGCCGCCGTTGCCTGTCGGAGGCGCCTGCGCGCCTCGCCCCCGGGCGCGGCGACGGAGCTTGCCTGCGCCGCCGCACAGTTCCGCCCAGCGTCTGTCGGAGCCCCTGCTGGCGAGCTGCGTCGCGCAATTGATGTCCTCGTCGAAGTCCTCCAACAGGTGGGTGATGCCATCGCGCGCGCGGCCTTTGCGCCGGCCGAGTTGCCTGCTGCGCAGGGAAGTCAAACCGCGCGTTGAGATTCTGTCCAACGTGCTCGACAATGAGAGAACCCTGCACCTCATCATTGTGGGCGAGTCGCCCAGCGGCATCGCGAGCGCCAGCTTGCGCAGCAACCAACCCACGAATGCAGGCTCGCAGCCGCTTCCAGCCATCCGCAACAGCCTGCGCCCCCCCCATCGGACACACTCTCATGAATACGCTCTACCCACTGCGGTTGTAGCGAACGGGCGTAGGAGCTCGCCTTGATGTTGGTGCTGGCGAGGTGCCCACTGCGCGTCGCAGCTCGAAAAGCCAATTTGCCCCGCGCCTTGGGCAGGGCGCGCCGCGCCACCGACGCTGCCTCCTCCTTGGCCGCGCGCAGGGCTTCCACCGCAAAGCCGCGCCCCAGCGACCAGGCACCCCCCTTCCAGGAGCGGGCCGTGCACCACCTGGGAAGAAACCTTCGCCCCCCCAACAAGCACAAGATATCGCGCCTTGCTGCCCTCCGCCAAAAGTCGCAGTTGCGCCTGTCGGTGTGTTTTCGTAATCCGCCCGAGGTCCGCGCTGCATTTGGCCGACGTTCTCGCGGCGCCCGTGGAGAGCCCGAAGTTGTCCTGCGCAGCACGGCTCGACGCCGTCCTGCAAGTAGGGCGTCGCGGCACCGCCAACTCCAGCTGCGCCTGCGCGAGGAAACTGGACCCTCGCGCGACCTGTGGATCCACCTTCCAGTCGCCACCAACGATGCCGGGGTGCTGCTGCCCTGCCATGGCGAGGCCCACCGCCATGGGGGTCTTCGCGCTGCGCATGCCCATGCCCTTCGCCGCGTGAAGATAGATGCTGGTGACGCTGATGGGCGGCCAACGCGGCAGATCCGCGACCGCGCGCTGCGCTCGGCCTGCGACCAGCTCCGCGCCGCAGGCGATCCCAGGGGGGGGGGGGGGGGGGGGGCTTGCCCAAGGGGGGGGGGGGGGGGGCTTGCAACCCCCCTCCTCCTTAGCGCCGGCGCTGGGGCTGGCGGCGACTGCGGGGGCGCAGCGACTATTGCCACCACTACCGCCACCACCACAACCACCACCACCACCGCCTCAACCCACCACCACCACCACCAACCCACCACGCAACCACCAACCCACCACGCAACCGCCGCCACCACCACAGCCGCCACCACCACAACCACCACAACTCACCATTACCAGCACCAGCACCAAAAAATCCACCACCACTACCACCACCACCACTACAATCTACCACACCACCACCACCGCAATTTACCGCACCACCACCGCCACCGCCACAACCACCACCACCACCACCACCACCACCAGCACCACCTCCACAAACGACTTCCACCACCACAAGCCCACCACCACCACCACAAACCAACGCCACACCACCACCACCACCACCACCACACCACCAAACCACCACCACAACCAACCACCACCACCACCCCCGCGAAACATCACCACGCCACCACCACACCGTCACCACCACCATCGCCACCACCAACCACCACAACCACCACCACCACAACAAACCACCACACCACCACCACCACCACAACCACCACCACCGCCACCATCACCACCACAACCCACAGTCACCACCACCGCCGCCGCACTCGTCGACGCCCCCCGCCGCCGCCCGCCGCCGCAGGCACTGGCGGCGCCGGCGCCGGCCCAGAAAATGAATTCGTCGCCCCCGCCGCCGCCGCCAGCCGCCGCCGACGCAAGCGCCGGCCCGTGGAGAGGGAGAAATGAAAAGTGCGGGGGGGGGGGGGGGGTCCGGTTCCAACCCCCCCCCTCCAAGCGACCACAGAACGCGCTCTTTCTCACCTGGGTACGTCTGTCCTCGAAGCCCGACTCCTTCCCGCGCCAAAACTGCCGGCCCTGCTGATGGTAGGTGCCCCTATGTCGCGTGGCCTGGCATGATTGGACATTGCCGCCCATGAGCTGTGGACCGCGGGCTTAGGATCTCGAAGCCATCAATAGCGCGCCAAGTCTCTTTTGCCAAAATGACCATTGCAGTAGACCGTCGAAGGCGCGCGTCATCTCAAGCAGCTCTGGAGTCTCCCGGGGCAGGGAACGCGGGCCATGTAGACGGAGCCCACCGACGCGCGGTCTAGCGTCACCCACCATTCCCGCCACCTGTGCGCACAGACCATTATGCGGTCTTGCGGTGCTTCGTGTTCTGCGTGCCAGTGACGGCCTACTCGAGCTGCTCCTTGGTCCAGATTGAGGGCTGCTGGCAGTTCTTGTGGAGCTGTTCCCAGAGCTGCTCGACATCCCCCTTGACCAGGGCCACGAACTGGACGTATTTTGCTCCGCGCTATTCAACGCGACCTTGGACGGGGCCCTCCTCCATGGGGGCAGTGTCTCTTGCTCCCTGTGGCTCCCCAACTTGCTGATCGTCTCCATCGCCATGATCAGGAACAGGAGTCGCAGCAGCCGCAGAGGCCAGCTTCTCCTCGACCTTCTTGCAAAATACCTCCCTGGTCTTCCCGAAGTGAAGGCTGGCCTTGAACGCCACCATCGCCTCCTTCGCCTCAGAAGCTTGGAACAACTCATCTTCGAAGCCGGACTCGATGATGTCCTCCGCCACGAAGCTGGCCAACTTCGCCTTCGCCGTCGGCTGTTCGCCACTCGCCTCCAGCTTGTCCGCTTTCAGCTTGGAGACCTCCACTTCAACACGCTGTGCCATGATGGCCTCCTGCTTATCATGGATATTCTTGCTTCGGTGACACTCGCAAGATGCTCAAGCAAGCTCTTGAGGTCGCTCTCGTACGTGTCCAACTGCTGTCTGCACTTCGCCAGCTTCTGCATCCTGTTTGTTGGTGAAGGAGATGAAGTGGCCCACCGTCCTCCTCAACCTTGCTGCACTCCTTGAGACCCTTCTCATGGTATTTGATATTATCCTGCAAGGCGGTCTTCTGGTGGAGGCTGGATTTGTCGCCGTTTTGCTCCCCCTTGGGCCCAGCATTCGGCTTGGGCGCAGCTGCCGATGTCTTCTTGGCGAGCCCAGCCACATGCTGCGTGAGCGCCCGCATCTGCTCCTCGAGGCCGACGTACTCCTTGGACCACGGGGCGGGTTTGCGAACAAGCTGTCCTGAGGTAGCAGCACCCGCCCCTGCAGGACGTCCCTGCCCTCCTTCGGCACGAAGGTCCCGATCCGCCAGCTTGACAGCATCGACCACGCGCCGCGGAGCCGACTTCCCTCAAGAACACGTGATGCGCGACGCCCAGTTGTTGGCCTTGCCGCAGGAGCAGCCCCAAAACGGCGTCCTGGGGCCCCGCAACACGCGCAGCTCGGGTGGCCAAGAACTATCCTGCCTGGCCGCCTCGCCGCTCGCCACAAACGTTCCCGCAGCACGGGCGAAGGCTTGCCAGGCCAAGCGCGGAGGAGGGCGCGCTTCTCCGCACGGCGCGAGCGCGCCCTGTGGTGCGACGCCGCCTCCAGCGGTGGCGTCGTGGGCACTGGTCCCAGCGCGCGATCGGGGAGGGACGCTCCCTCGCTTGCCTGGCAGGCACCCAGGTGGGGGGGATCCTCCTCGCGAGCCGAAGCTGGAGTCGGAGGAGGAAGAGGAAGAGGAGAAGAAGGACAGGGCGGAGGAAAACGAGGAGGCGAAGGTAGGGCAGCAGCACTCAGCTTGGGGCACCAGCCTGGTCTTCCACCGAGCGCGGGGCGGGGGAGGAGGACCCCCCCCGCTCGCGCGAAGGTCGTGAAAAGGAACGCGAGGTAACGAACGCTAGATAACGAACGCGAGATAACAAACGCTCGCCGTGCGCGCCACGCTTCCGCTCCATTCTCACTAAAGTACGCGAGATAGTAATACGAATGTTAATACGAATGGTAATAATCATAATGATAAGCATAATAATAACAGCAACAATAATAATACCAATAATATTAATCATAAGAGGAACAATCATAAGAATAATAAGACTGCTGAGAATAGATGAATAAACGAATACATAACCATAGTAATGCTAATAGTAATACGAGACAGAATAATATTAAGCAAAACAAGGAGCACCGTGCCAACCAGCTGCTGTGCGAGGTCAACCGTGTAACGTGGAACGGCCGCAAAAGACGAAACACTGACTTGATCCCAGGGGCCGAGTAGGATCGGAAGAGAGGAGGCGATCACACATTGAGCTAGCGCGCTCCACACAAGATGATTCAGACAGCCCCCACTTCGCCACAAAACATTGTGCCACACATCTCTGCGTGCCCGCCCGGTGCCGCTGGGTACGCGCCCAGCCGCTGTGGCAACAGAAACGAGGAGAGGACGCAACCTGGAACCTTCTTACTCCGAGCGCGCACGTGGAGAAGCAAAGAGGCAGAAGGAGGGCACCATTACGATCAGCACCAGGGCCCCAAGCGTTGGAGACGTTGGGGCGACAGATTTTGCGTTTTGCAACCGTGCGTCCTATGGGGGAGACACCTGCTTGAAACAGGCGCCAAACACAGCCAAGACCCACTCCATGGCGGGGGGGGGGGTGCGAGAGCCCGCGCCGATCAGGAAACCAATGCATACAAAACGAGCACCGTGTGACGTGGCGGGGGGAAACACGGACGTGTCGTAAACTGTCCCAGCCAACGTGGAATACAATCCCACAGCCTGCGCACGCCGTGCACGTGCCACCAGACCCACCGTTCCGAATCCGTGTCGGATCCGCGTCGAGCCCACGCCAGATACGCATGGAGCCCGCGAAAAGACACCAACTTTGAGGACAGGTGGTCCCGAGAAGATGCAACGTGGGCAATGTTGGTGCAAGTGCGGTGTTTCCTCGCGCGGGCATAGGTATGGACGCCGTCGCAGTCATGGAGAACGGTGATCACGGACTTGCCAGCGGGGCCAACGGACATGATCCCGCCGGCCCTTTGGGGCGTGAGGGGTTCAGCGGGTGTCCTTCGGGGACGGGTTTACCTTTGGGGACGGGTTTACCTTTCCCCCTAACCCCCTCCCCTGGGCCTGGACGGTGCACCCCACGACCGATTGGAGCGTCCAAGACGGCCCCCTTCTTTGACTTAACTCCTCCGAGATGGCCCCAAGACGGCCCCCAAGGCTCCAGGGAGTGCCGCAGGATGGCCCCAAGAGGCGCCTGGGAGGCCCCAAGAGGCCCCCAAGGTTCCCAAGAAGCTCCCCAGGCATCCCCGATGAGCCTGCAGAGGCCCCAAGCCGCTCCAAAAGGACCCTGGGGCCGCCCAGAGGCGCCCTAGACGCCACAAGAGAACTCCCAGAAGCCTTCGAGAGACATCCAAGACGACTCCGAGAAGAGGCCTCTGGTCGTTCTGCTCGTCATCCTCCTCCCTTCCTGCTCCTCCTCCTCCTCGTCCTCCTTCTCCCCCTCCTCTTCCTCATCCGCCCATGCCTCCTCCTCCTCCTCCTCCTCCTCCTCCTCCTCCTAGTGGAGTAGACGGCTTCCCCAGCGCATTATTCCACTGCATGCCTCTCCACTTGTCTGATCAGGCCCAACTCGCCCGGACATCGTTTCTGGATGGGCTGGTGGTATGCCGCGAAGCCTCTAGAACAATGCCAGGTGCTGCCTGCTAGGGTTTCGAAGGGCCCCCTACCGCCCCACCCTTGACTCTGGGTTTCGAGGGGCCCCCACCGCCCCTGCTAGGGATTCGAAGGGTGCCCGGGCTGTTCGGGGGGACCGACGCCTCCCTGGCAGCAGCCAAGGCCCCCAACGCTCCCGAGATGGCCTCCGACACCTTCCCTTCAACATGCCCGAGCTCCAAGCTGCCCGAGCAGACTCAAACACAGCACGGGAGGCCCCCGAGAGGCCCTGGGAGAGGCCGCAAGACGCCCCACGGAGAAGAGACCCGCCTATTCCAATTCGCTTCAACACCATGTGTTGATTCATCATGCTCCAGGTCGGGCACGACCCCCTACAGGCGGATCTTGGAAACAGATAGAACATAGTTTTAACAAAAAACTCAAAATCAAACAACAAATGGTGGGCAACTCGTCCCCTGACTATGTTTATACATTTTTGAATATTCCTCCTGAAGAGCAACATCCCCGACTTCGGAGGTTGGGGGGTGAGATCGGAGTGGAACGGAGACCCCCAACCGGGAAATCGTTTCGTTTCGTTCGTGTCGTGCGTGCGGGCGAGGCGAAGCTGCGTGGGCGCGCGAGAGGAATGAACCCGCCGTTGCTAGGGCGAAGTCCCCTCCACCCCGTCCGGCGGTGGCCCTCGGTGTCCCGCGGTGTCCCGTGGTGTCCCGTGAAGTCCGCCGTTGCTAGGGCGAAGTCAAGACAAATGATTCTCCCCAACACGCCCGTCCGGCGGTGGCTCGCGAGGTCCCGCGGTGTCCCGTGGTGTCCCGTTGAGTGAGATCGATAGTGAAATCGATAGTGAGATCGATATGGTGCCCCGAGGTGTCCCGTGGTGTCCCGTGGTGTCCCAAAAAGCGAGATCGATAGTGAGATCGATAGTGAGATCGACAGGTGTCCAGTGGTGTCCCAAAATGTGAGATCGATAGTGAGATCGATACTGAGATCGACAGGTGTCCCGAGGTGTCCCGTGAAGTCCAATTGAGTGAGATCGATAGTGAGCTCGATAGTGAAATCGATGTGGTGTCCCGAGGTGTCCCGTGGTGTCCTCTGGTGTCCCGTTGAGTGAGATCGATAGTGAGATCGATAGTGAGACCGATGGTGAGACCGATAGTGAGATCGAAAGGTGGCCGGCGGTGTCCCGTAGTGGCCCGTGGTGTCCCGTGGTGTCCCGTTGAGCGAGATCGATAGTGAGATCGATAGTGAGATCGACAAGTGTCCCGTGGTGTCCCATGGTGTCCCTTGCCTGTGGTGTCCCGTTGAATGAGATCGATAGTGAAATCGATAGTGAGATCGATCGTGAGATCGATAGTGAGATCGATATGGTGCCCCGAGGTGTCCCGTGGTGTCCCAAAAAGTGAGATGGATAATGAGATCGATAGTGAGATCGACAGGTGTCACGTGGTGTCCCTAACAGTGAGATCGATAGTGAGATCGATACTGAGATCGACAGGTGTCCCATGGTGTCCCATGAAGTCCAATTGAGTGAGATGGATAGTGAGCTCGATAGTTAGATCGATAGTGAAACCGATAGTGAGATCGAAAGGTGGCCGGCGGTGTCCCGTAGTGGCCCGTGGTGTCCCGTGGTGTCCCGTTGAGCGAGATCGATAGTGAGATCGATAGTGAGATCGACAAGTGTCCCGTGGTGTCCCATGGTGTCCCTTGCCTGTGGTGTCCCGTTGAATGAGATCGATAGTGAAATCGATAGTGAGATCGATCGTGAGATCGATAGTGAGATCGATATGGTGCCCCGAGGTGTCCCGTGGTGTCCCAAAAAGTGAGATGGATAATGAGATCGATAGTGAGATCGACAGGTGTCACGTGGTGTCCCTAACAGTGAGATCGATAGTGAGATCGATACTGAGATCGACAGGTGTCCCATGGTGTCCCATGAAGTCCAATTGAGTGAGATGGATAGTGAGCTCGATAGTTAGATCGATAGTGAAACCGATAGTGAGATCGAGAGGTGGCCCGTGGTGTCCCGTAGTGGCCCGTGGTGGCCCGTGGTGTCCCGTTGAGTGAGATCGATAGTGAGATCGATAGTGAGATGGACAAGTGTCCCGTGGTGTCCCATGGTGTCCCATGGTATCCCGTGGTGTCCCGTTGAGTGAGATCGATCGTGAAATCGATGGAGTCAGATGTTGGTTCCCCCCCTCCTTTTCACCCGAAGGGTGGTCATATAGGTAACACCATGTTCATATGTTCACCATGCTTTTCGGCTCCGGATGGCGCCCAGAATGCCCAAGGCGGCTCGGAGCGGCCCCAGATCCCAAGCCTCGCAAGACCGCTCAACGGGACTCGAAGCGCCCCAGAGGCAAGGGCTCCCAACTTCGCGCTCTCGCGCTGCGCGAAGCGCGAACAACTTCGCGCTCTCGCGCCGCCTCCCAGGGGAGAAGAGGAGGACGAGGAGGATGATAAGGATGAGGAGGATGAGGACGAGGAGGATGAGGAGGTTGAGGATGAGGAGGATGAGGAGGGGGAGGAGGGGGAGTTGGAGGAGGAGGAGGAGCCCTGTGGTGCGTGTGCGCGCGGGCCTCGTGGCGCCCTCTGGGGCCATTGTGCGCCGCGGCGCTCCCGGTTGGGCCGCTCCCGTCCCGCCCAGGAGGGACTTGCACAGGAAAGCGGATCCTGGTGTGTACGGATTCCTGGTGCATACGTGTCTCGTTATTGTTGTTCCCCCGGGAAGCGGGGGAAACAATTTACACCACACCACCCCGACGGCATCCCCGACCCTCAAGAAGTCATGGGACGGAAAACAGTGCGACAAGAAGACCCCAAGGCCAGAACAACAGCAACAACAAAAACAACGACGACGACAACAACAACGACAACGACGACGACGACAACAGTAACAGCAACAGCAACACCAGCAGAACCAGCAACAACAACACCACTCTTGCGGCGGAAGACCCAGCCAGCGTTATGCGGCCACGAGGGGGGGCTGCGAGGAGGGGCCATGCTGGGAAGCGCCATGATGGGCCACCGCTGTTGGGGCCCCGGGATCCCTCGCCAGGCGATAGACAGAATCGAATCGACAGACCCCCCCTCACAAACCCTCCCGACCGACCCCAAGAAGACTCCAGAGGCCCCAAGGAGGACCCGGAGACTGCCTAAGAGGGCCCTAAGACTGACCAAGACTACCCAAAAGTTCTGCAAGACAGCCAAAGAGGCCCTGGGGAGGTCCCGAAGAGAGGCCCAAGATGGAGGACTCACAAGGACTCGGGAACACTCACCCACCAGATGGCCACTCAGACCCCCAGCGTGCCGCAAGCCTCCAAGAAGCCCGAATCTCCCCCCCCCCACCCCAAAGCCCCCAAAAATCATGAAAAAACTACAAGAGGCCTCCACAAAGTCCCGCAACAGACGCGGAGGAAAAGAAAACCGGACCAACAGAAACCACGCGCAGGCAGCACGAGGGGAATCGGCAAAAAAGACACGGCATCGGAAGCCGCACATATTCTCTTTTGGGGCATTGCGGCATGGCGAAGGCTTCTGGAACCAAATACACCGAACCCTGAACGGAAGACCAACTCCAAGAAACACAATACTGCACATCAACAGGAGCGAGTTCTGGCCACGTGAACGAGATAAGCAAGGAGTGCTGGGCTGGAACGGTGGCAGAACTTGCCGCATGCACCTGAATGCTCAACACGCAGGGGCAACTCTTCACGAGGACGACGAGGTTTGCAGGCACTCCAGGATCCGAGTACTGTAATCGAGAACATCACCGCACAAGAACATAAAAGCTTTGAAAATGCTGCCTGCAAGATGACAATCTCGAGTGCCCGATGCATCGAATTGGAAAGGCGCCGGGATGCACAGGCCCCGAGCGGCGTTTAGATATATGAATCGGCGTGCCGTCCCTGCGGGCTGCCAGGGCCCGAGCAGCTTCGAAAAATAAAAAACGGTGAGGCTGGCGGCCTCAACAAGTTCATGGCGACGTGCACTTCGAGGGACTACCAAACATTAGCAAGCTGATCCATACATTACATCGTGTACTGGGACGCCACGACTTGGATGATCTTCATGCTGGTATGAAACTCGTCGCGGTCGCTCATGTCCTTGAAAACGAGGCAGTGCGCCGATTCCTCCGAGCCCTCCCCGAAAACCAGCAGGAGGCACTCCTTGGTCGCGTGGGCCAACCGTGGCACCCTCTTCTTGAAGGCCTCGCCCTTCAGGGTGGACTTCAGGCCCTTCAGGCTGAACTCCTGCTCACGGGCCAGCGCGGTCTGGAGGGTCAGCGTGGTCGCCGTCTCGTCGATCCTGAGCAAGCACTGGGACAGCAGCAGGCTCTCCATGTCGCAGAGGTGAACGCCCATGCCCTTCTGGGCCTTCCCGACGAAGATGCGCACCTGCGCGTTCAGGCGCCCCTCGCTGGTCTGCGCCGCGTCCCTCTCGGAAGCCCAGAAGCGGAGCCTGGGGGAGGCCTGGACGGGGCTGTCTGCCCAGCCAGCCGGCGATGCATCGATTCCCCGTTGGAAGTCGCACAGAATAGGATGCTCCATGAACCCAATCCAAGGGGCGCCAGCGCCGATCTGGCAATCTCCAGAAACCTCGGCCCTGTGCGGGTTCCACCGCGGGAAATACTCCTCGGTCGTCACTTGCCGACTCCTGGGCTCGCCGACGTCGGTGTTCAAGTCGCGCTCCCCCGTGGATTCCGACGACTCGCCTGCGAGCTTCCGTAGAAGAAGAAAAACGTGCATAAACATGAACTTGTGGCGCTCCGCGCGTTTTCTGGATCTGCGCTGGACCCCAGTCTCTGGCTCGCGGAGCATGCCAGGGGCGGCGCTGGAGGCGCCACCAAGGGGGGCCCAGCGCGGATCCAAGAAATCCGCGCGGAGCGCCCAAAAGTTCATGTTTATGCCCTTTTTTGTTCGTCGATTATGGGACATCCTTTCGAACTGCCTGCCGGATGTTTCTCTGGAGTCTGGCAGTGCGACACCAGGACCATCCTCTCTGCCCAGCACGGCTTGAGTCTGTACCACCTCCGCGCGTGCGGCAGGCACCGCGGCGCAGCAACACGCCAACATCCCCTTCGTCCCCCCTGCGTGTACTGATGGGCTACGGTTAGGTCGGGCGTGTCCTCCTGCAGGCGTTATTGGGAGGAAGAACCTCAAATAGTCAAGCAAGATGCCAAACATAATATCAAAGTTGACAGAACAAACTGTCAACATACTTGTTCTGCCTGTTGCTGGGCAACCCCTGTAGAGGGACACGCCCGCCTTGAGGCTACGGGCCTGACCGCAGAATGTGCTGCTTGGATAAAACGGCAGTCTGAACCAAAACCGATACGGACCCCATCGAAGAGGGAACCAGTACTGTTGGTCCCACATTGAAGGTGCCACTTTCCAGGAAAGGAACTATCATGGTGGGTGCGCCCTGGAGAGACAACCGATCATCGAAGGAGCCTCCTAAACACAGGCAAAGCAAGACGACGATGTCATTTGAATTGCCCCCTGACAAAAAATATTCATTCGCATGTAAGCTAATCGTTTCGAGGAAGCGCCCGCTGGGTAATTCAATTGTTCGCTTGGCAACTTGTTCGCCCGCTCGCTTGCTCAATGCTTCGAGCTGTATCTCCACAACAATTCCGTTTCGACTCTGTTCTGGACCTGAATAGAAATGAAAATTCAATGCAGCATCCTATTCAGCGGGGTGTCACCGGTTCCGCTGCTCCGAGGACGTAACAAAGACACGCCCCAACGCGCTATGACTTAGATGGTATGCGTGGAGCGATGAGGTTGGCGCGTGGATCGCATGAACTTCTGACTGGGAAGCGCAATTATGTGACTCAGCGCGAAAGGAACGCTCGCCGAGCAGCCGCTGCACCCCGGTGGAAGTCTTCGCGGAGGCCCCCGAAGCCTCCGAACAGAGAAGAGCAGAGGAGGCGTGAGGAGGAGGAAAGAGGAGGAGGGAATATCGATGCATGATAAATACTCCCCCTGGAGCCAAACTGCGCGTGACTTCGGCTGTTCCTCGGCCTTGGACCTATGGTGCGTTGCCCACACATCCGGCCATCTGATTTGTTCAAAGCGCGGCCCCGTAAGCGCCAACTCTTCCCTGGAGCCAGCGTTTCGCCCTGGATCACTTTTGTTCTGGTCCGGGGTCGCGGCAACGAGCCCCCGCGAAGCCGGAGTCGAAACAAACGGAATCGTCATACCGCGGGGTCCGTCGCGTCGAGGCAGGGGAGAGAGATGTCCTGCGGAGGCGTCCAAGAGGTTCCTGGGAAGCTTTGGCGGAGGCCTGTGAGGGCCCGGAAACTTCCAACATTGGGACTGTCTGCGTGGGAAAGGAGGAAGAGGAGGAGGAGGAAAAGGAGGATAATGAGGAGGAGGAGGAGGAGAAGGAGGAGGAGGAGGAGGAGAAGGAGGAGGAGGGGGGGGACAAGCTATGTGCGCTCGCGTCAGATCTTACGTCCTACCCCACCCTCCCATCCCTTACCATGGCGCTGATTTTCTCTATCCGCGAACGCGTGTCGTAGCGGACCTGTGGCTCCGCGCGCGCGTGCGTAGTGGGTGGTGGTGCGCGTGCGTGCGTGCGTGTGTGTGCGTGGTTGTGGTTATGGTTATGGTTGTGGTCGTGAAGGTGGTGGTGGTGGTGGTGGTGGTGGTGGTGGTGGTGGTGGTGGTGGTTGTGTGTGTGCGTGTGTGCGCGTGTGCTGTGGTGTGACGTGGTGTGGCGTCTTGGTGGTTTGGTGGTGGGCCAAGTGCGTGCGTGCGTGATGGCGGTGGTGGTGGTGGCGGTGGTGGTGGTGGTGTGTGTGTGCGTGTGTGTGGGTGTGTGTGTGTGCGTGTGTATGTGTGTGTGTGTGTGTGCGTGCGTGTGTGTCTGTGTGCGCGCGCGTGTGATGTGGTGTGACGCGGTGCAGCGTGGTGGTGGTGGGTGGGGTAGTGGGGTGGTGGTGGCGGTGCGCGTGCGTGCGTGCGTGCGTGCGTTGGTGGGTGGAAGTGGCGGTGGGCGGGGCGGGGCGCGGTGCGGTGGTGGCGGGCGGATGGGCGCGCGAGAAAGAGGCCCGCGCTGGGGCGAGAACGCCATCCTGAACGACGGAAGCAAAACACCGATCCGAAAATGACACTCACGCTGCAGCGGGAGCACAATTCGGAACGAGCGGGGCCCGAAAATGAGGCCGGCGCCTCAGCGAGAGCAGCATTTTGGAAACAAATGCAAGCGACAACCCAACTCCGGGGAAACCTGTGTGTAAAAAACAATACGCAGGGGGGGGGGTCGGCTACTCCCATTCCGTCATCAGGGGAAGAGGGAGAGAGTAGAATTCAGATTGAATAGTTGTCAAGGACCAGGACAAGGCCAAGGACAAGGATATCCGCATAAGTGGGTTCAGCGTCAAAGTACCCACGCTGGTGCCTTGCGCGGTTCTGCCAAACTCACCTGCGATCGGTTGTGCAACAGCCCTGTCGTCTCACTGGGGCCGGCAGGGGGCGCGCCACGTTGCTCAAGGACTGAGCTCCGAGGTGGCCCCGTAAGAGAGACCCGCTACCTTGCGATCACGAGTCCCTGCGGGTCAGTGCGGGGGGAGCAGCTGCTGGTACTTCCGCGCGCCCTAGGGGAGGGGGCGCGCGGTCTTAGCAGCGCGCCCAAGCAAGGGGGGAGGAGGCGGCGACGCTACAAGTCCAAAAGGAGGAGAGGGGGAAGGTCGGGAGGCCCGTGTCCCAAAACTGTTGCTGGGGGAGCTGCTCGCCCAACCGTTTCAATCATATACTCCGCTCTCCCACTCGCCTCGTTTCTCGGTCTGGTCAAGAGTTGCCCCATGCATTGTCGCATCTGTACTCGTAGTCACGATATGTAGTAGATGGGGCCATCGAGGAAACGCTTCTGTGGACTTCGTGACGATCACTTCTTCCCCCTTCGACACCCCGCAGCAATGCACCTGTCGGCGCTCCAAGATATCTTTCCCATTGCGATGACAGCGCGAGCACTCCGTGATGCCCATCCTGTTTGTCTTGAGTAGCACTCCAGGTTTTCCTCGCTAGTGCAGCTCTTGGCTGCCTGTGGGCTCGCCCAGCTTGCCCCGGGCAGCGATCCGAGAAAACCTCGGTAATGCTTCCCTTGGCTCTCCATTGGGCTCCAGTGGGTGCACTCACCAGTGGCCACTGGAGGAGCTGGCCGCAGTCGTCTCCTCCGACTGAACTGTTCCTCGAAAATCTCGGTGTCATCCAGCAGGGTCTGCGCGCTGTATCGTAGCTTCTGGCGCCCCTTGAGCCTCCTCACTTCCTCTGGGTCGAGATTGTCCTCGTTGCTCAGCTCCTTCATGGCGACCCATATGACTTTGTGGAGGTTCTCTTCGTCGTTCTTGGATATCTTCAGCGCCGGCTCACACCAGCTCTGCGCTGTGAAGGCCAACCCCCCTGCCCTTTCCCACGCGCCCAAAGGGCACCGTTCGATGAGATCGTGTCCTTCGACCATGTGCATCATTGGGAAGGACGCGGGGGTCAGCTCGAAAAGCTCCTCTGGGCCCATTTTCTGGGTGGCGTCGAAGAACTGGCAGCGGCACTCCTTGATGGCGTCGCCTAGCTGCTGCGGCAGCCTTTCCGCCGCGAGCGCCCCCCATCTAATCCCCAACTTGAGCTCCACCACCATCGACGGCCCGCTCTGGCGCGGGAGGAACTTCGACCCGAGCCCGATTTTTGGCCACCCCTCGCAGTCGTCGCCGAACGCGTCCTTCATCTTGTCCACCCACTCTATCATGAGCTCATCATCGGGGTGGCTTTCCTGCGCCTTGACGAGCTGTGACCAGTCCACCTTGCGCCGGAACTGTCACTTGTCCCCTCTCGAGTTGGGGCCGGGGCCGCTCCGCCACAACTTGTTTGGGAAGGCAAGACCGCGCGAGCAGGCTACGCCCTTCTTCTCGCCCCGTCCTGCGCCCCTCCAACACGCGTTGAACAGCTGCACGTTGTCGCTCAACTTATGCACGAAGTCCAGCGCCTCGAGGTGCGCCGATTGTTTTTCACAATGTTTTTCGCCGTCTTAATGTAGTCGCCCACCTCGTACACCTTTCCGATTGTCTCCAACTCTTGTTTTGCCGCCTTCAACTCATCTTCGCCACTGTTGTCCATGGCCTTGTACTTGTCGAGCAGGATGTCGCAATTTTTTGCGCGGCGAAGAGCCTCAATCATGCTTTCCCATGCTTTGCTGAAAGGCTGCAAACATGTCTCCGTTCATTGTGATGCCCTCCAGCAGCGCGTCGGCCATCTCGTTTGACTTCAGCAGACCCAACGTGTTTCCTACTCTGCGAGACTTTCTATGTGAGCCTTCTTCTTCTGCCAAGAGTGCTTGCGCTGCTTTTGTCAGTCCTCAGGCCTGGGCTGCCCGCCCGGCTCCTTTCGCTTTCCTTCTGTCATCGGCAAACCTGCTCTCTCAAAATACACTTCTCTCCTCCATGCAGCGTCTTTTCTTCGCCGCCCAAATATTCCCACTCCCCCTGCCTCAGCTCCAGCTCGCAGTCGATGCGCACCCTCTTCCATTGACTGCCTCTGCCTCATTGATTTTTTTCATAGCCAGGTTTATATATTGCGTGCCCCTGTGGCTCTCAATCATACTGTAGTACCCGAGCCCCTCGTTGCAACGCCCGCGGGGCCATGGCTGGCTGCTGCCCGCGAAGGCCATGGGTGGCCTCGCCGCGTTACGCACTCCGAGAAACCCCACAAGTGCGCAACGCTGCGCACCTAGGCCGACGTTGAGCCAGATCAGCTGTGGGATCCGAATCTGATCCATTGGGATGGTAGCGTATTCCTATCTGCCCTGTTAACCGCGTGGCACCTTGCATGCTGGCCCCATCTCCCCCCCCCCACCCACCCACTGACCGTGACCCGTCTGTACATCTGTACGTTTCGCGCATGCTGTCCAATATGCATAGTACCCCGCCCGCCAACTCTCCGTATCTGCAATGACAAGAAGAAGGAATATTAGCATCGTGTCGTCATGGTAGACGACGTCGTTTACTGACTGGGGCGGGTGGGCTGGTTGTTGTCAGGGAGGCCTCTCCCCGAGGCATTTCACTGCAAGTCCGCTCACCGTCCTCCTTGAAACTCCTTCGGCCCCTGAAGGCAAGGCCCTTTTGGGACCGCTTCAAAAGAGGGCCCAAGGCCCAAGCTGACTCCATGACGACCCAAGATGACCTCAAGAAGGCTCAGACAGGCCCACCAGATGGATCAAGAGGGCTCCAAAAGGACCCTCGCAAAGACTCGACTCGGGCCAGCCGCTCAGTGGCTGCCAGGACCGGATCAGCGGCGGGCGGACAGGGGGGCGCCGGCCCGGCGTGGCTTCCGCA